GCGAGAGGCCTGCATCTCTCCCTCTCGGCGCCCCGCTTCCCCTGGGCAAGCCCCCGATCCGGCGCCCTCGGTCCCCGCGCTCGCCTCCTCGGCCCCGCCCCCACGGCCGCGCCGCCACGGCCGCGCCCGTCAGAGCCGGCGTCCTGGGCGCAGCGCCGCGGCACGACAGTGCCCCACCGCGGTGCGCCCGCCGATGGGGCAGTTTTGCCGCCACCACCACCAGATGTAGGCCAGAAGAGAAGCGAGGCTGGGGAGGTCCTCCTCCTCCTCCTCTTCTTCTTATTCTTATTATTTTTCTTCTTCTTCTTCTTATTATTATTCTTATTCGTCTTCTTCTTCTTCTTCCTCCTCCTCCTCCTCCTCCTCCATCGCCCCCCCCCCTCCTCCTCCTCCCCCTCCTCCTCCTCCGCCTCCTCCTCCTCCTCCTCCTCTTCCTCCTCCTCTTCATCCTCCTCCTCCTCCTCCTCCTCCTCCTCCTCCTCCTCCTCCTCCTCCCTCTCCTACCTACGGTAGTGGTGGTGGAAAATCGGCCCATCACCCGCCGCGATGCCTGAGTCGCGCCAGGGCAGCGTGGCAAGTGCGCGGCGTCGGGCACGCGGCCAGCGCCGCCGCGCCAATTAGGGGCACGCGGCCTGCCCTGCCTCGCTCCGGAGGGTGACGCGGCCCCGGAGTTACGTCGGGCGTGTCCCCCTACAGGCGGATTTTGGAGGAAAATATCAAAAACAATGTCCGCAAACAATTAAAACAAATCATAAAATCGTCACCGAATTATGATCTGACTCTGTTTGGTGAATCTTTCTCCTGTGGAGGGACTTGTCCGACCTACTCCTGGAGTTGGAGTCGCCCTCGGTGCCCCGGGCCGGGCCGCGCGGCGAACGCAGCGGAGCTCCGCCGCGCCCGCCGTGACCCAGAGGGGCCATCCGCGCCGCCGCAGGCGGGGGTCGACCTCGGCGAGGCGCCGCAGGACAGGATGCCTGCGCGCGCCCGCCTGCCGAACGCCATTGGGGGGGGCCGCCGACGCCCCCGCCTGCCCAGCGGCGGGTGCTGACGGTTTTGGACAGCATGTGTCGAAGATCCTCAGAACGCGTGTCATCGCCAAGGTGTGCTGGTCCATCGAAGCCCTCCAACACGACGCACATGGCGCAACGATGGCCGGCACAGGCCGAACGGGGTCGACACACATTGGGCCAACACGCGTCCCGAAGATCATCGGATGTGATGTTGGGCATCGTGCCCATGCTTTCCGTACCAATGGCGGGCGTCCAATAAGTAGGGGGGGGAGGAGTGGTGCGTCGAAGATCGAGGAACCACAAGCTACAGAAATATTCAGTTTCCGGCGGTCCGCGCGGACGCCTTGAATCAACACTCCCAGAGCGGCCGCGCCCCCAGCGCGCGTCTGGTGCTGCCCCGCCGCTCTCCGCGGGTGGCCTGGGCGCCTGTCAGGCGACGCGCGCGCGCGGGAGGGCGGCCCGGGGGCAGCTCGCAGAGGCCGAGCGCCTGGCGCAGCGGGGCCGCGCGGAACCTCCACGGCGTTGCGCCCCCGCGGAGGAGGCAGACCCGCTGGGCTGGGTGAGGCAAGCCCAGCAGGTCGGAGATCCAGCGGTCGTGCACCGCGTCCAAGCGCGGCGCCTAGCCTCCGCGGGCCACGGGGAGGGCGGCGGCTCTGTGACAAGCGCCCGGCTACACCCGGGTCGCGAGCGCCGCGAGCGCCGCCGCCAGGGGGAGGCTCGGCAGCTCGATTCCATCGATGGTCCCACGCCGAGCCCGCTGAGCGCGTTGCTTCACTTGGCGGAGCAGGCCCGTCATCGTCGCCCTCAGGCTCGACAGGGACGCCTTGGAACTCGTGGAGGTCGACGAAATCGACCCCCATCAGCGGCCTCCAGCCCGCCACGCCCTGCACCATGCACTCCGTCTCCCCGGGCCCGAAGCGCACTTCCCCGCGGATGCGCCGGCGACGCCCGCCGCGCTGGCCGCGGGTGCTCGGGAAAGAGAGGCTGCCGCTAGAGCTCGCCCTGTACAAGCACTCTACTCGTCCGCGAGCGGCGCCAAGCCCACCCCGCCCGCCGACGCAGTATCCAGGGGCCCGCCGTATCCGGCGGCGAGCGAGGAGGGGAAGCGACAGGAGAAGGCCTTCTCAGAAGACGGCGGGACTCCTCAGAAGCCCCTCGCGCCTTGAGCGTTGTTTCGTTTCCTGTCTTTCGGGGAGGGCTTCGAAAACCTCTCAGAAGTCCGGGGGACTTCCGAGCCTTCTGAGAAGGCCCGCCCCTCCTCACCTCCCCACCTCGCTCGCCGCCCAGCAGTGCTCCTCCCGCGTGCCCGCGCGAGCTCGCCCCCGCACGCCGCGGGCGGCCGCCTCCTCGCACCGCGCCCGAGGCTCGCGGGCAGGAAGCGTGTCCGCGCCCACGGCCCGGAGGGCCGGGCCCCCTGGGGCCGCGTCCCCACGGATACGGGGCACTTGCTCACGGAAGCCCCGCGCGGAAGCCGTGCGACTGCGTGACCA